CACAAGGTGCTTGCTTTAGACCATAAAGAGATTTCCGTAAACGACACACATAATATGGGTGATGAGGATCACTAAAACCTAATGACATGTGCATATAGATAGTTTTATGAAGATCACCATGTATAAAGTCATTATGAACATATAGATGATGAATGGGCCAAAAATTGGAGAGAGCAATGGTGAGAACAGTGCAATTGGTCACAAGTTTCACTACAGGGTTGAAAGTCTCATCACAATCCACTCCTACAATTTGAGACCTCCTATCACCTATAAGTCGAGCTTTATAACGCTTAAAACATCCATTAGATTTCTTCTTATGCCAGAAAACCCACAAACAACGAATAATGTTAACATCATAAGACTGAGAGGCTAAATCCCACATATTATTTATAATAAGAGCATTAAATTCAGATTGCATTGGAGATTTACAATTAGGGTCAGAAAGGGAAAACTTATGGTTTTTAGGAAGATGAGAGATGGTCAGATCATCAATGGTAGCCGACGGGTTAAAGAGTTTCCTAGATTTGTCAATGCCCCTCATGTTGCGAGTGACTGTGGTCTAGGTAGAAGGTGTAGGTTGGGTCGGTGGTGTAGGTAAGGGAGAGGTATCTTGATAATTCGACGAGGATGAGATATGAGTGGATGGGGAGGTTGGTGATATATGGTGAGTGTTAGGTATAAATGATTATATAATAAGGTAATTTGGTAGAGACTCTAAAGATGTATGAGTCCATTGATGTATAAGGGATGGGTGTAAAGCATCAGTGACATAGTCATATTTAGGGGAAGGTGTGGAGGACAAGAAGACAAAAGGAAATTGAGTCTCATCAAAGATAACATGTCGCTAGATGATGTTTTTTTCTCTGAAATAAATCAAAACATTTATAACCTCTATGATTAAGGGGATACCCTAAGAAAACACAGAGAGTCAGGCGGGGTTATAATTTATTGATGGTTATGAAGGGAAATAATGGATAGAAAAGGCAACCAAAGACGTGGAGATGTATGTAAGAGGGATCACAATGATATAGAAGTTTGGTAACAGAGATTAGACACAGTTTTTCCAGGGAAGAATGTTAAGAAGATATGTAGCCATTTGAAGTGCATGATGCCAAAATGAGGGAGGAACATGTGTAAATCATGCTGTTAATAGTGCATATTTTTCGTTCCACCTTGCCATTTTATGATGAAGTGTGAGGGCAAGAAAAGTGAAAAAATGAGACCATTAGTAGCACAATAATTATGAAAAGGCGTATTGTCATATTCTCGTCCATTATCACATTGATAACATTTGATAGTTTGAGAAAATTGTGTGCGAATTTAATTTAAGAGAGATGTTAACATTTAAAAAACTTGAGATTTATTAATTAGAGGAAACATCCACAAAAAATCAGAAAAATCATCCAAAAATAAAACATAATAGCGATGACCAACTGAACTCAAAACTGGTGATATCCATAAATCCATATGTAAAATATCAAAGGGCATCACAGTAACATTATTAGAGGAAACAAAAGGTCACCTAACATGTTTTCCAAACACATAAGAAGCGCAAATGGTCATAGAATTCAGAGGTTTATAACTAATGAACTTATTTCTATGAAGAGACTGCAAAGCTAAAGAGCTTGGATGTCCGAGATGATTGTGCCAAATGTTGTAAGAAATACCGAAAAACGAGTAGGAAGTGGTAACTAGATAGAGATCTCCAAGGCTATCACATCTCATGAGTGGAGTCCTCGTCTAAAAGTCATTTTTACCGAAAAACCAAAAGTATTAAAAGAAATAGAATCATTATAGTCAATAGTGAATTATCGTATAAAAATCAAATTTTTGACAATTTGTGGTATGTGAAAAACATGGGTAAGGTATAATAACTTGTGTTTATTGGAGACATGTAGGGTTGTGTGTCCAAGGCCCTGAATTGGAATTCCTTGTTCGCTACCAACAAACATTTTCTTATTTAAGTGACTCAAATTAGAATAATACGAGAGATTATCTTGTGACATCGATATGTGGGAAGAGGCATCCATGTCCATGTACCATGTGCTGCTCGAAGGAGTGAAAGACATCGTGTGCACAACAGCTACGATGTCAGTGGGTGATGGTGAAACCTTGGTAGTGTAAGCCTAAGGACGCTGGCCCATAATTCCTTGTTCATAGGGAGGGAAAGAAGAACGAGTTTGTTGAGAAGTATGATACATGCACGAAGACATGACCCACTATTGATGAGAGGGATATTACTGTTGTGATTTGTTGTTGATGCCAAGAAGGAGAACTTTCTTTGATTCTACCATGAAGACCACCATGGTTACAACAATTTTCACCTTGATTCTCATTGTTGCAAGGACATGAGTAGTTTCCAGAGCAGCAGTTAATACTTTGGGATGAGTCGTTAGAGGGACGCTAATGAGAGGTAAGATAAGCTCCATGAGACTTAATGGACGTCATATTAGCTAAACCGACTTCTTCTAATGTGAGCGTGGAATAAGTCTGATTAAAGTAGGGGAGCAGATTGCTCTATTGAATCAAGGTGGCTACACCATGGCATGCATTAGTAAGACCAAATGAGCCGAAGGACCAAACAATGATTGTTTACGAGAGCACTGATATCCTTTCATTGGTCTGAAAGCGTCTTCAGACGTTAACAATAAGCAGAGACATTTGAAAATGTCTCCATGCAAACTCTATAGAATTCCTGCTCAAGAGTGACAATATGTGTGTTATAATTTTCCTAGAAGAGGTCAGCCAAATGCTTTCAGGCATCAAAAGTTATGGAGCCAGGTTCCACGATTTTAGTTAGTAGGTCAATAGAAATGGTGGAATAGATCCATTGAAGCACGATTGCATCCAAGGTGCCCCTGGTCATAATTGGGGCCAGTGGCAAGTGGTGGAGACTTGTTGTCTGAAGGCACAATATATTGTAGAACTCGATAAGAGCGATATTATTCCTAATGTTGGAAACAACGATATCAAGATGAAATTTTGGCTCGACAGAGGATGAATGAGATGGAGTCAGGGTTTCAACCTTGGAACGAGGAGTCTTAATGTTACTTTCGTTGTTGGAGGAGACATACATGATGTGTACGGGCCGTGCGATCAGACAGAGGGAATGAGATTTAGATGCAGAGCGATCGGAGGAAGAGAGGGAGAGGGTGATGGCAGAAGGAAAGGCAGACGACTACGGCGGTGGCGGTGCAGGAGGATGAGCTACTGCACCGACACTGAAGAAGAAGCTACTACAGAGGCGACAATGACAACTTTTGAGGAGAAGCAATGTAGACAGTGTAGTAGGAGATGTTATTGCGGAGGCATCACAAGAGGATGAGCTATTGCAGCAGTGACAACTTTTGAGGAGAAGCGGCATAGACAATGCTAGGGAATGAGCTATTGTTTTGGCGATGACAACGACACTAGAGAATGACTATTGTTTCGACGACGACTTTAATTAGGTTTGGATCTTTACCTTTACTGATACCATGTAAAATATTGAAATCGAACGTGTCAGAATATCACTATGGAGATTGTATTTATATATAGAGACTTACAATTCATTATATGATATAGTCGATGTGAGACTTATATACAAATATTCATTAACAAATAATTACATATTATGTCATATATGAATAATGAGACATTCTAAAATAATTTTTTTAACAACACATGACCTTTATTCATACAAGTTTGAATTTTTTTTGGACCACACACAATTGTTAGTGCAACCACAATTATATAAAACTATCGACAAAATCTCAACCACATGGCCAACTCAATCAAACTGGAGGTCCCATTCTAATTTAAAAATTAGGTCCAAATTTAAAAATAATACAATTATAATAATTAAAAATAACACATGAAAAATATAATTATATATTAATAAAAAAGATTTAATTATTAATTATTTTGACTATAATCAATCTCATTTTTTTTAATGTATTAGATTTTTATTATAGCATTCTTTTATTTATGGAATTTTTTATAATATTTTTTTTTATATTTATTAATATTAATGTAAAAATAATTGAAATTTTCAACATTTTGAGGCCCTCTAAAATTTAAAGCCTGTAGTGTAGAGCATGCTGCTCTTTCAAAGGGTCGAGCTTGCTTAACCATTGAAACGTAAACTACCAAATTTTTTATAGTCCATTTAAAATTTCAATAATTGCATGAGCTTTTTAAAAATCCAATTATTTTACACTACTAGATTTTTTAACATTTTGAAAAAGATTCGGTAAACCATGATGTATTTTAAAATAACGATATGTTTTTCCGCGCACTTGTTTTAAAAAAAAAATCAATATATATATATATATATATATATATATATATATATATATATATATATATATATATATATATATATATATATATATATATATATATATATATATATATATATATATATATATATATATATATATATATATATATATATATATATATATATATATATATTGGATATTTAAAATAGACTACTGAATTTTTTAAATCATATTGAATTTTTCATATACACTACTAAAATTTTCATACACTATTTTTTAATAAAAATTTGCAAAAATATTTTAGATATTATGAAAAATCATAGGATGTGATGTTTAATCTTGGGGGTGAAATATACCTCCACAATTGTGCTTCTCATGTTGGAAACAAAGTTGGGCCTGGGTTAATTGCCAAGGAGATCCAGGAAGGACCCGACCCATATCTCACAGGTTACATATTGTGAAAACAAAAACCCTAGCGGCTTCCCATTCCCTCTATAAACACCACATACTCATCTCTCAAAGTAATCATCTACATTTTGTTCCTTTTATTTTTTCTGTTCTTTCTTCTATGTTCACGTTTTTTTATACATTTTCTTTGATATTTCTCATATAAACATATTGATTTGTGTAATTATTTTTTGTTGCAATTTTACAATATTTTATTTGAAACGCAAGTCAGCTTCTTGATTGAACTCTGTTTCTACGGTTCAATCAATTATTCTTACATACTTGCGAACATCAATTTCTATGCAGGCTCACTCGTCTGAATTTGATTTCAATCTGATCTTTCAGACCCTTTAGTACTGTAACATGTTTTATAAATACTATATTTTGTACGTCACTCTGTTCATTAACCGTGTTTAACACTGATGTTTTGAGGCAATTTCTTCGTTTGCGACAGTAATTTAGTTGTTGTTCACTCGTTTGCTCGCACGATCTATTTCGATTCTGTCGGTTCATTGTTCAACTTTAACTACATGTTAGCCCTATTTCTATCTACATATTAACACTAATTTAATAAGAAATTATTGGATATATTATAAAGTATTCATTCTTTTATGTTATATTTTGAAATAGAATGGACTCATTCTCTTTTGATCATCTTTTAATTTTTTGACAATTTGATTATTGTATGTTTTAGTTTGTTTACCAATTTTTACTTTAATTGATATAACATGGGTAGAAAAATTATAATATATAATCGAGAAATTGATATACATTAAATTTATAGATTTAATATTCTAAAGATAAAGTTAGATATAGTGATAGATATATTTTTTAAAATATAAGTTTGTAATGTATTTTGAAATTGATTAAAATATAAGTTTGTAATGTATTTTGAAATTGATTAACTTACCACACTACACATGTGTTCATACAATGGCAAGTGATTAATTCACTGTACATACTCGTAACACCGTTACTTTTACAAATTTACAGTTTATCGAATAAAAAATTTGAAAGTGAAAAAAATAGAAATATTTAAAAAAATGAATTTTTTTTTTTACAAATTTAGAGTTTATTGAATGATAATACAATAAAAAATTTGAAAATAAAAAAACAGAAATATTTAAAAAAATGAAAAAAAAAATAGGAATATAAAGAAAAAAATAGGAATACACACTTGTTATTCCTATCAGAAGAGCACTAATTTGTCGAGCTATTTGTTTGAATTTTTTCACTACAAAAAATTCCTAAATCCAATAATATTAATGATGCAGCGATAGTAGGAGACAAAAATATAAAAACATTTTCTAAAGAGAAGTTTACACCAACATCAAGATAACTGTAAAAGAGAGTATAGTTTGTGTAAGTGAACCACTTGGCTTTGCCTCTCTCTAAGAGAGTTGGTGTAAGTGAACCACTCGGGTTTGCTACTCTCTAAGAGAGTAGGGTTGCTACTCTCTAAGAGAGTTGGTGTAAGTGAACCACTTGGGTTTGCTGCTCTCTAAGAGAGTAGGGTTGCTTCTCTCTAAGAGAATTGGTGTAAGTGAACCACTCGAATTTGTTGCTCTTTAAGAGAGTTGGCTCTCTAAGAGAGTTGGTGTAAGTGAACCACTCGGGTTTGCCGCTCTCTAAGAGAGTTGGTGTAAGTGAACCACTCGAGTTTGCTGCTCTCTAAGAAAGTTGGTGTAAATGAACCACTCGGGTTTGTCGCTCTCTAAGAAAGTTGGTGTAAGTGAACCACTCGGGTTTGTTGTTCTCTAAGAGAGTTGGTGTAAGTGAACTACTCGGGTTTGGCGCTCTCTAAGAGAGTTGGTGTAAGTGAACCACTTGGGTTTGCCACTCTCTAAGAGAGTTGGTGTAAGTGAACCACTCGGGTTTGTCGCTCTCTAAGAGAGTTGGTGTAAGTGAACCACTCGGGTTGTGAGATGGTCACTGTAGTTCTTACTCAAACTGTGAAGTAATTAGTTGAGTATAGTTCTTGGAGAAAGCTTTGAAGTAACTCCAAGTTGTGTCTTGTCATGAAAGTGTGTCTTCCTATTTTGTTCAGAATTATTGTTGATCTAATCATTGTCTGTGATTAAAGATGGATTGAGGAAGACCTCATATCTAGGTGAGTCTTACTTAGAAATCTAACATGGGTAATGATTAAGTGATTAGGCCGTAAAATGGAGTTTTGTTATAGGGTCTATGAATTGAAACTATTTGAGTGGATTTGTCCCTAACTTGGTATGCCCCCAGAGTATGAAGGTTGGTCTGAACTGGGTTAATAATTCTGTGTGTTGTTTATATTTTTTAGTACTATTTTTATTGTTAATACATTTCCTATTTGTTTATGTCAAATAAGATGTCTCAACATGTCATAGGACATATGAGTTTTGTCATACCAGAATTTCAATTGGTATAAGAGTAGATGATGTGATAGATGATGAAGGTGAGTTGGTACATTATACTTTCTATGCAGATGTCGAACTTGTTAATGCAGCTGAAGCATTAAAGGATTCAAAGTGGGTGAAAGCAATGAATGAAGAAGTGAAGTCTATCGAAGACAACGACACTTGGTCACTTGTCGAATTGCCTCAAGGAAAGAAGGAAATTGATGTCAAGTGAGTATACAAAGTGAAAACGAATTCGAAAGGTGAAGTAACTCGACACAAAGCAAGGCTTGTGGCGAAAGGATTTCTACAGAAAGAAGGAATAAACTTTGATGAAGTTTTTGCACCTGTTGCTAGGATCGAAACAATCCGATTATTTGTTGGTCTAGCAGAAATAAACAGTTGGCACATATGTCAGATGAATCATTGAGATACCTTTGTCATACAAGACCTGACTTAGCATATAATGTAGGTATGGTAAGTAGATTCATGCAGAAGGCAAATGTATCACATCTAACTACAGTGAAGAGGATACTGAGGTATCTCAAAGGAACTATTGACTATGACATTTTGTTTTATGCAGCTGATAAAGGAAAAGAATACAAGTTAGTGGGATACACTGATTCGAATTGGTGTAGTGATGTTGAAGATCGAAAATCAACAGCAGGATATGTGTTTATGCTAGGTGGTGCACCGATTGCTTGGAGTTCAAGAAAGGAATCAATAGTGGAATTATCATCATGCGAAGCAGAATACATAGCTGCTTCTCTTTGTGCATGTCAAGCAACTTGAATGGTGAATTTGGTCGAAGAGATAACAGGGAAAGATCATGGAGCAATTACGATGAAGATCGACAGCATGTCAGCTATCAATCTGGCAAAGAACCTAATAGCACATGGTCGAAGTAAGCACATCGAAATGAGGTTCCATTATCTTCGAGAGCAAGTAGCAGATGGGAAGATGAATTTGAAACACTGCAGAAGTGTTAAATTGTAATTCGATTGTGTCGAAAAGATTATATTCTTTTTAGATTTAAATAAGATTTGATTTAGATATAAAATAGAATAGATTTGATTTAGTACCAAAATATGTATTTTGGGCTTTTGTAGTTTGGACTTAGGGTGCAAGCTAAATTTATAAATAGAGGAAGTAACCCATATTTTTGTAATCAAGTTAATTAAGTTGTATTCACAGAATGAGCAGTTGCAAGTGAATAACAAATTCTTCCACCGTTTATGGGCAGAGAGAAATTCTGTAGAAAATAATTGTCTTATTTTCTTTTCATTCTCATAATTAATTATCATTGAAGAGAAATACATCATAGATATTTGGAGGATTTCCAACAAATACAACTATGTAAAATTCATGCACCAATTATGTATTTATATATTTGATCATAGTTATTAATAGGACAACAACTCTTATTAAAAAATGTAACTAATAATTTTAGTAATTATAAACGGTTATTAATTAATATTATTTGTATTAAGTGATAAAATAATTAAGGAATTGAAAAAGAAAGAGAGTAAATTATTTAATAAAGCATAATAATTATTATTAACATCAATTTTAAATGTTTGTATTTAAAAAATAACAACATAGTTACTCTTATCTTTATTATTATTATATAATAATAATAATAATAATAATAATAATAATAATAATAATAATAATAATAATAATAATAATATAATAATAATAATAATAATAATAATAAAAATAATAATATTTCCCATCAAAAAATTAATTAATAATAATACTATAATAATAATAATAATCATATATTAGTATTGTAAATGGTGAATATTTATAGACTTTATTTTAGATATTTAATAAATATTAAAGATTATGAAAAGAATTCTTACAATGGAAAAATTTATATGTATTAACTGGATAGTAATAATCAATAAAAAATGCTTAATTAATAATAATATATTAGTATTATAAATGGTGAATATTTATACAATTTATTTTAGATATTTATAAAATATTAAAGATAATGAAAAAAATTCTTACAATGGAGAAATTTAAATGTATTAAATAGATAGTAATAATCAATAAAAATGCTTAATTATTTCTAATAATTTTTTTATTAATATGATACTTTTAATTAAATTATTTTTAATTAATTGAATTGTAACTGAAAGAGTTATAATTTAGGTATTTATAACAAATTAATTTTTTTATCACGTTAGTATTTTAATGTACATCAAATATAGAGTTAGAGGGAGTCAGGGAGGAATAAAAAAAAAGAGAGATTTACAATTGCATTACACTATTAAATTATTAATAAATATATATTTTAATACAATTTTTTATAAAAAATAAGAGAGATTCACAATTTTATTAGAAAATTAAATTATTAATATATATTTTCACAATATGTAGGTTACAATTCTATTATATATAGAAAATTATATTATTAACAAAACTATATTGTAAGTTAATAAAGTGTCTATTAAAATATAATTTACAATTGTATTAAAATATTAAATGATCAAATATATATATTTTTGGTTTTCACACTCTAATTTCTAAGAAAAAGGGGCTTTAATATTCTCCAAATTACGTTTTTAATCAGAACTTCTTTAACACTGGAGCTCAAGTTACCCGATTTCAAATATATATTTAAAAAAAGAAGTTATTATACAATTATAATTATCACACTAAATTAAAATTTATTGATTGTAGAATTATATATGTTTAATTTATAGATTTGTAACTAAAAAAATTATAGTTGAGTGATTTATAACAAATTAATAAAAAAAATTATTCGTAGTATTTTTTTTTAATCAAAGAAGTTAATATTAATTCAAAAAACTCTCAATACAAGGCGATCGCTAGGATCCAGCCCCCAAAACAACAAACGAAACAAAACCTATAGCTTAAGGTAATAAAAAGTTAGCTATATGTGGTCTAAGCTTAGGACTAGTCCACCCTCTATAAACAACCATATTAATAATATTCTCATCAATTCTCCCATTCCTACCATTATGACCAAAGCATACATCATTCCGAAACTTCCACATCTCATAGAGAGTTTCAACAAGGGTCATTCTCAGCAAGTCTGACTTCCATCCTTTTCCATTAAAATGCAGTAAGATCCAATTCAACTCCACATCTCAAGTACAAGGGTCATGC